TTATGGCAGGTCACGACAAGCAGAATGTGATGTAGGAAAGAAACAAAGAAAAGATTCTATGACGTATGCCTATTCCTTCTGAGAAATGTTTGCGCACAAACTTGACCGCAAAATGTTCGTGTAGTTACTTTTCGAACTGTAAAAGTACTACAGTAACTGGAATAGTATACATTAGAACCTGTTCTATCAGCCACATATTCAATACAGTCACACTTGCAAATGATCACGTCCTCTTTGTCCCTTTTGGATTTTTTCCTACGTTATAATGAACTGTCCAAGGGGTTCTCGAAACTAAGACAACCAAGTGTGCCCTCTACAGTGGGCTGTTGTCTCAGACAATGCCGAATGGGTTTTGATCATCAAAGAGGAAAGAGCTCCTATTTAACTTTTCATTTCCCAATGATTGGAACGTATAGGATAAACCACCAAAAAACATCTCAAATCACCAAACATTTATTATAACGTTGGTGAAGATTCGAACTAGGGTTATTTGCATTGATGCTCAATTCAATATGCCGGGTTGAAAAATTTCCCTTTTTTCCAAAGTCAGAATGACTAATACCCCTACAAATCTCAGTGATTAAGATATAATGAAGCCGTCAGGGTATGCTAAAAAATGTAAATCCCTAGAACCCACGGGTAAACGTTCATTTGATTATTAAATCTTTCTGAATCATGCAAACCGAGACTAATATGGTCCATGTGTGTCATTATTCATAATTTTCCTGGTACGCTTGACTTTTTTCTTTGTTCTTTTTGTTTACCACTCTCACTCCAATTTGATTCACCCTCTGCTATTTTTAAACCTTGCTTCATTTACTAATTTTATCTCGCCCTTCTTTTTCTTCATCTGTCTTTTGTTAGCAATCCTACTAAAAGTCATTTTTCATTTTTCTCCTGTGCTTCGTTTTGTTTTGCTTTTTTCTGTTTGGGTAGTTGGTGTTTGTTGTTGTTTATTTTGTTTGTCTGTCTTGTATCGGGGGGGGGGGGGGGATTAATACTTTTTTAGAAGGGGTGCTTTTTGTTTCTTTTAATTTTTCTAGCTTTTGTGTTGTTGTTGTTGTTGTTGCTTTTATCGGGGGAGAGGGGTGAAAGGGGGTCTCTTTTATTCTCCTTTCAAAAATATATCTCACTTTGAGCGAAATATGAGATTGTAAATCATATTCGACTCACCCATGGCCACACATTAAATCATTTTGGAGGCGGTCTGCATCTACTATGTCTGTCAGGAAAACCATGGCCACGGGGGGCGCAGCATCCTGTCTGAAAGACAGATGGAGAGGAGATTCTCGAATAAATAGACTTTTCCGACCGGTCTCGAGTCTTTTGCTTTAAACAGAGAACCATGCTGCGAACAGTCCTATGGGATTGTTCTGTAAAATAATTCTAGAGGAGATAGGAAGGTCTCCGACATAATTTTATTATATTGACTGGGCTGAAAAAAGAACCTGGTCGCTTGAAGTAAGGGCTGTCTTTTTTGCTGGAAGCTAGAAGTGCTACCGTTTTACAGTGTTACGCTGTCTCTTATCAGGCTGTCTTCGAATCTTTCCTCAGTCTCTTCTTAAGCTTTTTTATTCGTTTTTAACATCATTTTGGAAGAATCCATCTCATTCCACGTCGGCCCCACCCATACCAGACACGCGTTTACTCATCACGCGAGCGTCTATTGTTCATTCATGAGCTTGTCTTTTAAAACCCAATAACCTCTGTGACTGAGTGCAAATTTTAAGCAGTAACATACACTTTGCTACACCGTGTTATGTCGTCCTATGCAGGGGTCAGCTTTTTTTCATATTTTGCCTCTATTGGTAATTTGATATATCAGTATCACAAGAAAGACAACGTTTTTTTCGGAGGGGGGTATGAACGACATAGTTTAAACCATTTAGGAGGCGGGCTTCTACTCTGTCTATCAAAGCCAACCCAGACAGAGAGGTATGCAACGTCTCAGCAGAAATACGAAGATTCAAAAAAAAATTCTTCTCAAACAGGAATCGAAGTTAAATTTTCTGCGTGCGATGGCGAAACGTCTAACCCCTCCAGCACAGATAATAGTCACATAGGTTCCAATAAGTGTTGTTCGAAGTTTTTGTCACGTCCTTTCCAAGCTAAAACAAACGCGACCTTGTGTTCCCGTGGGAAACGACCAAATAAGCAGTCTTAAAAATTACTTAAGTTGTGTCTAGTACTAGTAGGGTAATAATAGTCGTTGTAATCATTCTACGAAAACAACCACTTTAGTTTTAGTTTCTCTCAACAATGACAGTGTCTGGATTGGATGGGATCGCAAACCACCTACATATAAACACAAAGAAATAGAGGAATAGCTCAGAAAAGGGCCATCGAATGGGGTCACCCAAACACCTGCTAAGGTTGACAAGAGGTGTGAATAATAGTATGATACCAACAGGTTGGTAAAGACGCAGTTTCTACCTCTGTTTTATAACGAAAAAATAATTTCCCTTAGCAGCTGCCGGCACCAGAATAATTTATGGCAGGTCACGACAAGCAGAATGTGATGTAGGAAAGAAACAAAGAAAAGATTCTATGACGTATGCCTATTCCTTCTGAGAAATGTTTGCGCACAAACTTGACCGCAAAATGTCCAGGCTTCGTTATCTTAGGTCTACTCATTCATACCAGCAATCATGAACTACTTCTGATGTTTCCGATTGATCAGTGCATACGATATCAGGGGAAAGGGGGAAGGGGTTCCTTATTAACTGATATCCTTAGGGTTAATTAGGTTGTGTTATTCTTAAGAAGAAAAATTTATCACGGCCCACATTGTACCAAATTCGTTAACAAGATACAAAATGATTCATTCATCAAACTTTTCATTAAAATTTGAATACATTCTACTACAACGCCCTTCAGTTTCCTACTCCCACTCGCTAAAGCACTTATCTTAGAAATATGTGGTTGTGGGTTTGGGATTGAGGGTTGGGTTGTTAGACCATACTTTGAACAAGCTTGCAAGATTAACTACGTATGATCACTTTTGTACACATTGACAGCTGCATAAAAGAATAACTGGAGTTGTTTGAGGAAAAGTAAACAGCGATGGACTATTCTAAGACAAGGCGGTATCGCTGTTGTGTTCTTAAGTTATCCAGCGTAGTCTAAACCCGTGCGGGAGGGGAGGGGGGGTCGGAGGGAAAGAGATTGGGAGGTGGTGGAACAAGAGCTCGTATCTTTTACAGGGGTGTAACCGAAGAATAAAATTATGGTATTTGTTATACTAAGAGTGAGTACTGTTTTACCGGGAGGCCTCCCAAAGAAAGCGCTATATCCGCTTCCTGAATAACGAAGTATTTGACCACAAGTTTAAGTACCACAGGGTGTGGCGTGCGTAGATGTTTGCTTGATGATGTCAAAATATTTCAGATGTTTGGACAATGAGGTGAAGAACTCTCGGCAAGAGCTTCCTTACTGTCGTATTCGTCGTGGTGGAGACTTCGGGGTAAGGGAAAGAGAATATGAGAGGGGCAGAGAGACAAGACATAAAGAAGAGGTGGAAAGATACTAGTGGAGATTCACACTCTCACACACACACACACACACACACACACACACACACACACACACACACACATACAGAGACACAAACACACACTCACATACATCACTTACACATGCACGTACATACA